CTCTCTCCCCCTCCCCCGCGCAGGCAAATGGGGAACTTCAGCGGGATGGGCGAAGGGGTCGATACGCTACCTTGGACGCACCATATCCCCTCTCCCCCCCGCCAATGTGTCTCTCTCTCTCTCTCTCTCTCTCTACTTGTTCACCGATTTTAATCGATCCATTCGCCGGGTCCAATCAATCAATCCATTCACCATCCTGATGAGTGAAAGAAGCCTCGACTGAGAGGATTGGTTGCGGAATTGATGAACATCGAGACTTGATTAAACTCACTCAGATGCGATAATCAATTATGCCTTTGATTGCTGATGAGCATTTGGTGTTGGGGTCAACAAATGCTGGCACGCGCGAAGTATGAAACGGAAGAGATGCAACTGGTCTGGCAACATCCCGAGCAGTTGAATGGCGATTTAAAAAAAAAAAGAGAGATACGATAGCTATAGAGTGACAGGAGGAGCTCCAGACGTAAAGAGAGGACAGGACACAACGAAAATACAAATAAAGAAATTGTACATGATAGAGAGAAGAAGCGCTCAAAGGATGTCGTACGTAACATCCCACAATCAACATCTCGTCATCTTCTTTTCTTTTTTTTTTCTTTTTTTTTTTTCTTTTTTTTTTCTTTTTAAGGTCATCTTCTTTTCCTTTTCGTTTTCCTTTTCACATTTGGAATCATCTAGGGGGGGATTTGGAGTGAGGCCGGCCGTGCCTCCATGAAGAGAAGATAACAACCCGAAGATGACTAATCCACTGGGATCTCTCTCTCTCTCTCTCTCTCTCTCTCTCTCTCTCTCTCTCTCTCTCTCTCTCTCTCTCTCTCTCTCTCTCTCAACTTGTGCCCTCCATCCCCCTTCCAGATCTTCCCCCACCAATCCACTTTTCCCAATTCTCTTCTCTCATTGTCCTGTGTCTGTCGCATCTCTCTTCCCGTCTTTCTCCACAGTTTCTCTCTGCTCCGTTGGGATCCTCTTCGAGATCTGCTCCTGCAGTACTCGATGTGGCCCCTGCGGATCTGGTATGTCCTTTCCTCTCTTTCTCTGTCTGTCGTTCTCCCTCTCTCTTCATTGCTGTCTCTCCATCGCCAGCATATCCACATTCACGTTATCCCCCTCTCCATTGCGATTCAGGCCCTTCGTCATCATCCTGATCTCTCCTTCCCTTACAACCTGTTCCCCTCCCTCCGCGCTGAGCCCGTCTTCCGGCCTTGCAATCTCTTCTTCCCCACCTTGTATGGACCCCCCCCCCTTATACGATCTGCATTCCTTCCCCTGTTGCCTTGGCGTTCTTTCCCCTGCACTTCATCGCGTCCTACATCCTCACCCTGATTAGTCGGGATTCCGACCTTTTCCTCCTCACGATCCCGCATCCCGATCGGCCCCCTCTCATCCGCGCTGCCCATCCCCTTCTTCACAAATTGGGTCCCTGACCTACATCCTCCGCCCATTTACCTTGCATGCTTTACCCTATCCCGGTGACCCTCCTTCCTCTTCCTCTCTCGACTCATCCCATCCTGACCGACCTAATCCCGACCCTCTCATCCTACACCCATCAAGATTTCGATGGCGATCTTCTCCTACCTGTCTGGCCAGCACTCCACCTCCCCCTAGTAGTGTTCCTTCACCCCCTGACTCTCTGCCTTCACGGCATGATCCCCGACTAGTCCGTCGGATTGCACAAATCCTGTCCCACTTGCAACACACCACGCCCACAAAAAATAGAGTTGCCGCCCTACACGAGTGGACGAATGGATGCAGGGAGGAGGGAGCGAGAGATGGTAGAGATGTAGGGATGTAGCGACAGAGAGAGGGTGCACTTCGCCAC